CTTGATTAAGCTGGAGCTGGAAATAATGTGCCCAGCCACACCAACAGACACCTCGAAGAACCTTAACCCTGCTCCCTCTGCCACCAAAAATGTCAGTCCCCGCCGGTGGAGGGGAGAGCATCCCCGCCGGGGTGGCACTGGGAAGGAGCGGGTCTGCGGCAGCAGGCAGCCCACAATTGCTGTCTTTTTTTCCAGGCAATAGTGATGGGTTTATGTAGGTAGTTGCCCCGTCGAGGCTGTGTCAGCCAGGCAGTACCTGACAAGCCGTAATTAACGTGCTACCGCAACGCCCAAGACACCCACGCCTCCGAATGAGCATTTGTCCATCTTGAACAAAACCCACGTTCTGGTTTGCCGGCGAAGCCGTGTGTAGCTCCGCAGCCGTCGAGGCGCTGCTGAATTACAACGTGCTTGGAGGCAGGGCGAGCGGCCGGCCCCCAGCCTGGCCAGCGATGCCACGTCCTGCCCACTGGACAAAATCCTCCTTTTCGGAGCCCCCGCAGCGTCCCCGCTCGGTGTCAGCAGTGCCCTGCGTTAACTGTCGTAGCACATCAGCGTGTCCGTGACTCGTCAGGCAGACTAGTGTATACAGGTACAGACTGTAACTAAATATAACCTTATGGGCTTCTGGTTAGAGAATTAGATCCATCGGTGTAATAACTGTAGTATATTATTTGGGGTTCAAGTATTCCTAACATCGTCCTTTGTACTTCTTCCTCCCACCTTTTTTTCCTCCCTGCGCATTCGCTGTGGTACAGTAGCACTAGCGGTTTTCCTTGTAACCCTCCAGACCACGTCCCAAAAGCATGCCAGGATTGCGCTGTGACTTTGTGCCATGCTAGCTGCTACCCCCATGCTGTCCTCGCAAGCTGTTTAATATATCCTCTGTTCTCCTAGAGATCTCAGAAGCCCAGCAGCCAACTCGAGCTTGCAGAGGGCAGGGTCGTGCTGCTCTCAGGCTAGCGTGCCGAAAGCTTCTGCATAGCGTTAGCATTGAATTTGGGTATAAAGAATAGAATTCAAACCACCCCATACCTTTCCTGGAGATGTATTCTGCCAAATCTCTTTGCTCCAGGAGGCTCCCTTGCAACAACAGATATTTCTCAGCACTGAAGTTAACCACATCATGGGGTTTACATATTTATTTTAAGCATGTTAAAAGATTGGAAAGAATTGGAATTTTTTTCCCAACATTTTAAGCTATCCCTAGTGAAGTGGAAGTTTTGCTTAACTGATCCTTAGTTAAAAGGTCTCCCCCCACTACCAGCTGCTCTATCTCATGCAGTTTGAGCAGAGTCACATCTACCTTTAAGTCACATCTACCAGCAGGTGGGATTTCACTGGCTGTTCTGCCTGGACACTTTGTAGGATGAGTTTCCCGTCAGTTCATGCTACAACAGCAAGTGACAACTATGGCATTTCTTTGCTACTTCTATCGAGCAGCAATTCCTTACCGGGCTAATCCGTACCCTTCCCTCTCTGCAACCAACGCCCCAGATGGCACAGGGCTGGCTCGCTCTTAGTTCTGCCTGCTGCAGCTAATGAGGTCACTTAAAACTAAGCTAACTGTGGTCTTTGTCTATTCATTGTTAAATGACATCATTACTTTCGTGGAATCAGTATTTCTCTCGCTAACAGCCACTGTATATGCAGATTTTCTTTCAGCCACCTTTGTGTTCCCGAAGTGCGTTGGGGAGAGCGGATGGGTCTCGTTCCACTCTGGTTTATCGCTAGTACTTTTCTAGATAGCGTTTTGAGGCCGTGTGTGTCAGAAGAACCTCTCCCACCACCAGTGAGGCTCAAAACCAGCCTTCACTGTATCAACTTGAAACCCAAGTTCAGCTACCTGTATTTTGTTGCAATATGCATTTAAACCTCAGATTCTTTAAGAGTTTTAATATCAAACCGATACCAAATGTGGTTTGCAAATTTAAGTTTTTTTGCAGATACCTCTGTATAAGCAGACCGCTTCAAAGAGTTGCAGTTGTCACTAATCTTATGTGCATTGTAGTACAAAGTGGACCGTGTATGAAAATAAGTTAAAAATGTTTACAACTTTTGTATATATTATATATATAAAAATATCTTTTGAGAGAACAATCTGTGATCATGTATTTTCAGTGTCTGTGTACCAACTGCAACTTATTTTCAATAAAGAGTTAAAAATGAATAGAAGCGGCCTGAAAAAAATTTGGTAATACTTTATTTAATCAGGTGAGCACAAGGAACAAGGAAACTGCATCATCAGGCCAAAGAGATCAATTGCCTTGAGGAAACTTACAGCAGCACCCGCCCGGTGGGAACTACGAATCTGCTAACACAGAAGAAATTAACTGAAAATCATGGGAAGACGTAAGATACTCCTGCAGAGAATATGCATTTCATTTCCCCTGAACTTTACAAACCAAAGGAAGAGACAGGGAATGGACCTGACACCGTAGATCAATTGCTGACTGGAAGTGTTGGGGGCAGCTGGCGTGAAACCAAAGCGCCGCTGCAGTGGGTTGTATCGTGGTGGTGTCACGGGCGTTACACCCCGCTCTGCTCCAGAGGAGCCCGACTCAAAGCAGGAACACGGAAGCGTTATTACTTGTCACGTATTCATGCATTTTATAAACAGCCATGCAGCCAAATAATCCTCCCCATCCCCATGTCAGGGCGTGCAGCCTGGCCCCCGTGCCCAACACAACACGTTCAAGGTATTCAAAACAGTCTTAATTATTTGGAAAAGAAACCAAAAGCACTTTGCAGCCTGACAGCAAGCAAAAACAAAAAGTGTAAGGCAAGGAAAACTTTCTGTAGCCAGCACTAGCTCTTCAGCAATACTCTGAGCTCGATTTCATAGAAATGATGCTTATATAAAAGCAGTGTTTTGTCACTAAAAATTCCATAAATTAATTTCACCTTTATGCCTACACGTTAAAAATAACTAAACCTGGTCTGCCAGGATGGGAGAGAATCAGACGCTGAATGACAGCCATGAAGGTGCACTGCAGGGAGGACTCTTGTCGCTCCATCACGTCACAGCTGCTGCTGGAGGAGTTACTTCCAACGATGAACAGATTCCCCTCTCGTCTCCAAGAGGCGGAATCGAGAGATGCCAAGCAACATAAGCAAAGCTACTTCAGACCGGTATCACCAAGGGAGGTGCAGGATGTAAACGCTCCATACAGTCTGAACAAATGATCCTTGGTAGTGCAGACCACTGTAAACAGATAAATGCACTTAAAGGCACTGCAGATAAACATGGTCAGTGATCAGCAGCATTTAATGTCCCAATATGCTGTTGTTTGGAGCTACCACCACTAATACATCCAAGAAATTAGAAACATGGCAGTCATTAAATAAAATTACTGTGAAGTGGGCTTTACAGAAAGTAAAGCCTTAATGTTATTATTCCACATGCAGTGCTACAAAATAAGTTTCTTTAAAGAACATGTTACATAAAAGGTCAGAGGCAACTTCAAATCTCACGTTCAACTAAATCGCACAGATCAGTCCAATTCTTCAAGTAGTAGAATTAATTCCGTTTTCAGACAGGAATTTTCTTTGCTATATGAGCAGCCCAATGTTTACAGACACACAGCTGTAATGGTCTTACTCACCAGCGAGTAGCATCTTTTCCTTTTCTGCACCTTTGTACCCCTGACTACTGTGATCTTCATGGTCACAGAAATAGCACAAAAAAAAAAATCAGAATATTATAAGGGAAGCCGCTTTTGCTTCCATTCATTTCAGTGATTCACAATCTTCCCCCACCCCCCAAAAAAAGAAAGAAAAAACCCAAAGCAGATGCTTATTCCCCTATTGTGTCCCCTGTCAGTCGTCAGATCAGAAAGTATTTTCTCAGCTATTGCATGTTACAGGAGGAAGGTGGCCCCCTGCCTGCCCACCCTGCGATTTCAGCCTAATTCTACTCAGGCATTTCAGAAGCTCAGACTTTGGATGTTAATTAGCTACGGCGCAGTCCAGTGATCCCTTTGCACAGTATTTATGAACAGCACTGAGAGGGCTCTCTAACAGTAACCCGACTACTCAACTGGCACCGGCTCTCAGCCACACTACACTGCCAAACCTCATTCCAAAAAGTGCATATTCATAGACAGAGACTGTTTTATTGGTCTTCAGGAAAGCTAACTGATGATTCTGCTGATTGCTTGTAAGGAAGGGAACTCCTCATCCTCAATATGCAAAGCTTTATGGGTGACAACGTCCTGCTGAGTTAGCACTTGCTTACACGTTGGGCAGATATAGCAGTCGAGATCAGAGTTGGAGTCCGTCTGCCAAACATTCTTTTTGTTCTTTTTGGGTTTGTTTGAGCTTTGTTTTTCTTTGATTCTGAAATCGTTGTGAGCAGAAAGCAGTTCTTGTTGCTTAACTGTGTCCGGCAACAACACCAACAATTCGTTAAAAATTTTCTTGAAGTTATCTCCAAGCAGTTCTCGGCAACTTTTGTAATACTGTGCTGCAGAAATCAGACCCTTCAGTGAAAAGAGAATTGGAATAATCAGGAAAAAAAATATTAAAATCCCACTGGAATTCACTTTCTCCCAGGCTACATCACCCTCACTGCTTTCACACCATCCTCACTGCTTTTTTGCTACCTTAGCACTAGAGAAGAGCTACAGTGGGGCTGAGAGGGGAAAAAAAACAACCAGGAAAATCTCTACCTAGTCCACTCACTGACAGCAAAGAGTGACAGATGGACTACATAAAGTGAACAGAGAGAAAGGTTTCGGGAATCCGAAGGTTCTTGCCCACTCACCTGTCTGAATTGCCCAGAATGAGTTTTAAATTTATTGAACTTGGACTCATCGCTTTGAAGAAATTCTTTAATAGATTGTATTAGCTGAATGTTCCTTTGCTGAAAGTTTTCAGGTATCAAGTATGATCCGTGAGAGGATTTTGGCCTGCGTTTGAAAAGACCAAAAGTGACTTTGACATTGCTTCATGTTATGCAAAGATGCTGTGGGATGTATATTATATGGCTATTCTCGTCTATAGGATGCACTCCCTTTCTCCACCCCGCTACACATGCAATTACGATAAGCAGCACACAGGTATCTTCACAGGACGATGAAACGTGCCCTGTGGGATTCCAGCTTTACCTAGACAGAATATTTAAAATGCAAGTTTAACAGAGTCTTGACTGGCTGTTTTGTAAGCAAGGTTCACTAAAAAGATGTAAGCAACAAAGACCGCACCATGAATAAAACCAAAAAGATTAACACAGATGTCTGTATTAAATTTACACAAAATTTCCCCTCGCCTTTTCCCATAAACTCATGTCTCTTGCCCTGAAGGGCCCCAGCCAGAGGCCAGCTACTGGAAAGATCAGAGCAACGAGGTCACCGAGGAACGCATCCTTCAGCACGTTGCTTCTGGACTCAGAATCAATAGAAAGGTTAAGAAATACATTGAAGCTGCAGATTTCCAAATAAATCCAGAAAAGACAAAAGCACACAACGGCCACGGGACACCCCAACAGGAACCATGAAGTGGCTGGCCTCTGCAGCGGCACCTGTTCAGAATAATCCCCTCAGATTATTTCATGCCTTGTTTGAAGCCTGTATGACATAACTAAGACTAAGTCAAAGGACTTTTACTTACTCTTTCAAAGATGTAGTGACAGGTTCAGAGACATTGGTGGATGGAATAACAGCAAAACCTGGAGGGGGTTTACTAACAGGCACCGACAGTCCCGGAGGCGGAGGAGGACTCTTTAATAGCACTACAGCGTTAAAGCCTAAATGAAAGCAGAGAATGGGCAGGAAGTTAGAGCACATATCTGTGGCACCCACATACCACTGTCTAAAATTAACACCACTAGTGTGACGTACTCCCCAGAAGTACTCCACCAAGAAGTAAGAGTCAGCAGTGCAGACATCACTATATTGGAAAAAAACCTAAAAATTATGATGGAGGAAATCTGTTGCCTTAACAGTCAGGTCAAGAAGCACTTCATAGTGGCTGATGTTACTCTACCGAAAAAGCGCTTTAACAATTAATTTACTTTTCCAATAGAAAATAATTAAAGAAAAAAACCCAACACACTCAAACTCACAATGAAAAACACTTTTACATTATTAAAGTGAACCGAAATCATTCCAGAAGTCACAACAGCACTAGGCATTGTATTTCTAGCATACTCCACCTAGCAATATCTGCAGAGCAGCACAGAACAAACCAGCTATGCAAGCATCTCCTGACACGATGCTGCTTTCATTAAAACCACTGTAAGTCACGTTTGTTGCTATGTTACTCCAGTTTTATACGATTATGGCACTGCTAAAAGCAAGGGCATTAAATCTCTGCAAACGCAGAAGAAAAGTGACCAATCAAGTGAACTGAGAAGTACCAGCAGGCACAGGTCACAGCTAAAGAGAGACTCCCTTTGGCCACAGGGGCTCCCAAGCTAGATCTTAAAGCACAAAAGCACAGACATGTGTCAGCCATGACTCATCAGAAAAGCAGTGACAGGTAAAGCCCGGCTGCTCATCTGTGAGCCACCCCCAGACACCTGCAGCTGCACGGAGCAGAGGTACCCCAACACTTCCACCGCTTCAACCATGATTTACAGAGGACATTCAAGCCTATCCGTGTCCCCTAGACTGTCTTTTTGAACTTCAAAGGCTAACTTAGCACGTGGTAGCAGAACTGCTCCTCACACGAGAGCCAGAAGGACCAGTCTATACAGCTCATCCACGTGCCACGTTTCTCTAAGCTAGCTCCAAGCAAAGCTGGCTGTGCCCTGCAGCGCTTACCTGGTGGTGGGGGCATTCTAGCTGATCCTGAGCTCCCAAGAGCTGGGAAGTCTTCCTGAGGTAAAGGGCATTTGTTAGTCACTGTGGGCTTTTTAAGGCCAGGGGGCTCTTTGGGTGTACTACAGATCCCTAATGATTTTTCCGAATGACCATTCATGACAGTTGTGGATCTGTCAGGGGCGTGAAGAGCAGAGGACGCATTTGATGTCTGCTCTGCTTCTGGCATCTTTTCAGTAGATGACCTGGGAAATGATGTCTCCTGTAAGAGGTGTGGGGATGACGGTCTCTGCTTCTCAATGCCCATCTTCTTTTTCTTGCTCACTTTCGTAAAAGTTTGTGAGGTAGAAGCTGCCAGCAAGGACGATACATCAAACATTGTTGGTGTGTTTCTGATCTCCTGGGTTGTCAAGCCACTACCACCGTCTTCATCATCTGACTGAGAGAGTTTATTGCTCTTCTTACTTCCTTTAGTGCTATTCAAGGAGGATGGTTTTTTGGCTATCTGGTTTACACAGGGGTTGCTAATGGCTTTGACCACGTTTTTACTGGAACCGTTGTTCCACGCAGATGTGATGTTAGTTACTGTTCTATTGTTAGGCCTCATTTTGGACACTAGAGCTGGAAAATCCTCCTCTTGGAAAGCTGTTTTCTTTGCAGTCGCCGTATATGTCAAAGACATCCCAGAAGAGATGGTGGGTGCTGCAGAGGATGACAAGCTTGGGAAATCCTCTTCTTTAAGCTTAACTGCTGCTAGCTGGGCAGAGCTGTGAGAAAGGAAAAGTACACCCTGTTACACCGGTGCTGCAGAGGCAGCACAGCTCCAACAGGCACAACAAGCTCCATACCTGTCTGCACTCTTCCTCAAACTATCACTTAGAGTGGCACAACTGACCCAACCATTACCAGGATGCAAACACACTCAGACTTGTGAACTGTGTCTGGAATGGGGTTTCCTCAAAGAAGTCACGCTGGCCTTGCTGTGTTATCAGTACTGTCTTAGTACATCTCACCTTGACCAGCAAGCTGTACACACACATTCTAGCTGCCACGTCCTGCAAAGACACTATTCTAATCATCACCAATTTCAGCAGATGATGAATTTTAAAACTCACAGTATACAGCTCCTTCAAGATAAACTATCAAGTTACAAATGGCTGGAATGGAGAATATTGAGAATTTCCCTGAAATGACACCACCAAAAGATCAAGCCATGAACTGAAGCAACAACTGAAGCTATTCACGCAGGTGACTAACACAGAAACAGCTCAAGGAAGAAGGGGGCCAGGGCAGGGATGAAGCACTTGTAGTTTAACTGATTAGTAAAATTATTTTCTCCAGAAATGCAGAACATAAGGAAGTTTCTAAAGGTGCTTTCTCATTGCTGCAGCCTTGCACAAACTTACCCTTGTAGAGGTCCCACTGCCGAACCAATTGCTAGAAAGTCATCTTGGCTTAAAGCACCGTTAGCAGCTGCTTCTTTTGGAGTATTGACAAAAAGAGCAAAGAAATGTTTTCAACTAAAATCCATTCATTTCAGAGTAGAAGCGATCAATGAACATGACAGCAGCATTAACAAGTCCTATTTTCAGCAGCTGATGATGTCATTAACTGTGACATTCCAAAAGGACAATTTAAATCATGCATCACTCCTTCAATTAATCGCATTCACTATTATGTCATTGCGTACTGGCTGTAGCATACGGGAAATTCATGATAATTAACATGAGCAAAACATAAGTACTTTGTGAGGGAAACCTCTAGGGACTGAGATGCCAATGCCCTGAGATGTCAATGCCCCCCGCTGTCTGCTCCATGCTTCTACCAGAGGTTAGCACTCAACTGCCTGCACAGGGTCAGGATGCTCGTCAGAGCCTCAGTGCTCTGACTGAGGTATGCTGATGCTTCACTTGGAAAGCTGCTCCTCTGAGCTGTCCATCCACCTCTGCCGCACAGATGCCCAAGCTGCTCAGCAATTAGCTCCTGGGCAGTCATTTTACATTGAAACATAACTCGTTCCTAATTTAGATTTGCCTTAAAATCCAAATCCAGTGCTGTGGACTGCAAGTGTTCAGGGACAGATTGGTAACAGCCTTGGCATGCATGCAGCAAAAGCTGGGCAGGCAGCTGGGGGAGATAACCTTGCCTGTCATCCCCAACTGAGCTGTACCCATTAACTAAACAGAGCTCTCAGCAGCTCTCAGTTCATAATGAAAGCATATAATCTTTAAGTGGGAATCCTGTTGTAGGAGCAATAAAGCAGTGGAAAATGGATTTGGAGCAACACTAATATCAAAACACCACTGCATCATATTTATTTGCCCCAAACTGGATGCGGTTCAAAAGAATTAAAGGTTTGCTTTCACCCAGTATTCCCTTTACTGGGAGTAACTTGTTCTCAGAAAAGAGGAAACTCAGCTCAAGCCTCACAATAAATCAGTGCTTCCATGCTAGAGTAGGAAATGGCACATTCTTAAGATTATATTGATTTGGATGGAACCACACACGTACTGCAGTACGTTAATTTCATTTGATATTTCTACTCAGCTCCATTTCAATTAAAACCTGCTGCAGGAATCCCAGCCCATTCAGACACGTTTCACTGCAAATCTGTGTTGCTGGATTACAAGTCTCTATCCATGTCCACCAGCTTTTGAGAACAAGGCATGGCGATCCCCTCTTTTGCCAGGCTGATCTCCAGACCCACGATGTCTCCCTACAGCTGCAGAATGTGTTCAACACTAACCTGTAGCATCATTTGAAGACCTGGCCACACGTTTGGAGCTGAGCACTTCAGAATCCCTCAAGTCTTCCTTTTTACCTCTACTGCTGCTGTCCTCTTTGTCTTCTACCCGTTTTTTCTCTTCTTGCCGTTTAGCTGCTACAGATGCCCTGACTGCTGCCGCAACGTCTCTGTCTTCTTCCTCCCTACAGAACAAGGCAGATTTTCTTGGTCAAACAGTAAGGATTACCGAGCAGCTTTGTCTCACTCCAGCTCTCACCTCTCCAGCGTCAGCTCTGATGTCTGTCCCTGATCTTGTGCTGCCACCTGCTGAAAAGGCTAAAGCAAACCCACCACTCCAATACACCCTGGCACTGGCTGGTGAGACAGGCAACATTCACCCCCTATATTTGCAAGTTCTACATGTGGTAATAACAATCCAAGCCAGAAGAAACCAGGGTGAACTGGGAGAGACAGTACCAGGGATGCATGGGGACACCTGTCTCTCCCATTCGTTTTCAAACGTATGAAATCATACTTGTAGGCCACAGTAATTCTTTGAAACATGGTTTGTCATGAACTCTCAACACATGCACGATCCACATGCGACACCAACATATAAGTGTTTAGAGATGGACTTTTTCCCCCAGTGAAATCACCAGTAATGGACCAGCTGACCGTCCAACGAGAAAAAGAAGAAAAATAAATGTGCAGTATGTACAAAGTGCTCAGGTCTTGTGTAGATGAAGAGACATATAAATGCAAAATTTCGTTTCAATACTTAACCCTCTTCTTTTTCCAAAGCACTCAGTCTGGCCACACAGAGATCTGTTAGTTCAATGAAAAGCATGGTCCTTAGAATAGGAACTTCATGATTACTCAGACCAAAAAGTCCATTAAACCTGCAAAGACTTGTCACTTACTTCAGAAAATCCTATTCAGAAGAGTTAGCATAAAGACAGTTGCTGAAATTAATTTAGGATTCTGAGTTTATTAAACCCACAAGTTGAAGATTACATTGCTTGCTTCCTGTGTCAAGTCCAGACAGCTGAAACTTCACACAAAATAATTTCACTTTGACCAACTACGTCGTCAGCACCCAGGCTTAGACTGAAAGCTAGTTCTACTCTCAACTAAGGATTCGCTATGGAAGCTTCCAAATTTTGCACTGCCTTCCTTCCTACTGGTCCACCAAAACATTGTTAATTGGTAAGTAAAAAACAACACTAAACAGCAATAAAAATCCACAAAATGTTGTGCTACTCACCTCTTATATCTCCAGCTGCCTCTTCTGTTTTGCTGACTTCCTCGGCCACCCAATCTGCCTGACCTCCCTTGCCGGTTATACCTGTCAACTTCTTCATAGTCCTCTCCACCTATAACACCTAAACAGGAGGGATGGTTGATTACTCTCAAAGTTATTTCTCTAATCTGAGCATCACACTCTGCCTGAAAAAAAAGCAAAAATATACTAGTACAAACAAATCTATCTTGATTTCTTTCTGATGATTAAGTAGTCTACATAACCTTGCTACACTAAAATACATTTTACAGTATATGGACTTGATGTATTGTAACCTGTGATGTGAGTTTTGAGTAATTTTGTATTTATCATAGAATGGTTTAGGTTGGCAGGGACCTTGAAGATCATCGAGTTCCACCCCCCCTGCCATGGGCAGGGACCCCTCCCACCAGCCCAGGTTGCCCAAGGCCATGGCCAGCCGGGCCTTGAACACCTCCAGGGATGGGGCCTCAACTACCTCTCTGGGCAACCTGTTCCAGTGCCTCACCACCCCCACAGTGAAAAACTTCTTCCTAATGTTTAATCTAAACCTGCCCTCTTCCAGTTTAAAACCATTCCCCCTCGTCCTATCACTACATGCCCCTGTAAAAAGTCCTTCCCCAGCTCTCCTGTAGCCCCTTTAGGTACTGGAAGGCGGCAATAAGATCTCCCTGGAGCCTTCTCTTCTCCAGGCTGAACAGCCCCGACTCTTTCAGCCTCTCCTATGAGGAGAGGTGCTCCAGCCCTCGGATCATCCTCGTGGCCCTCCTTATGCAGAGAGATCTCTCATACAGTTCCACACAGAAGAAAAGTTTGTATGTATGTCAATTTGTGCACTCCTAAGCAGATATGCTACTCTGGTCTCCTGTTCCATGTTCATCACTACTTTGTATTAACTGTAATAAGTCATTCACATAATTACAAATTGGAGAAGAAAGTCAGCAATTTTCCTAAAATTATTTATCATCATTAAATCCACACATGGGGGAAAAAATTGTAAACAACTTAGGTAGGAAGAGACCTCTGGATGTCATCCGCTCTATTCCCTCACTCAAAGCAAGGCCAACTCTGAAACTACATTAGGTTGCCCCAGGCCCTGTCTGGTCAAATTCTGATTATCTTCAAGGACACCAAGGTTGCACAGGACAGCGTCCACCCGCCTGGACGCTGTCCTGTGCAACCTGCTGTAGGTGACCCTGCTCTGGCAGGGAGGTTGGACTAGATGATCTCCAGAGGTCCCTTCCAACCCTAACCATTCTGTGATTCTGTGACAAACGCTACAAACTCTCAGGGTCCTGTTCCAGGGCTTGCTCACCGTCTTTGTAAATAATTTCTCCCTGGCTAGGAAATGTCCACCAGATGTTCCTGAAAACCCTCAAAGCAGTAAGAATGAATATGCTTCTGTCCACCTCAGCCCCCAACCACACTTACCCTCATTCCTCCTCTGGTGCCTAGGAGCATAGTTAAACTGAAGGTCTATCTGCCGGTTCTGCCTGGCCTCTGCCCTGTTCTTGCTGTGGAAGGCTGTTTTGTGCGCTTTATAATCTATTTCTGTGCGGAACGCGTGGGTAAACTGTTCTGTGCTGCACCGACCCTCTTCGCAAAGGAAGTGCTTTTCACGGAAGTGTTCACGAAGGTATTCATAATCACTGGAAAGAGAGAAGAGGCTGAGCTGCAACCTTCCCAACATATTTATGGCTACTCCTACAAGACGAAGTGAAGACAAGCCTAGGCAGTTGGCTCGTTCTGTATCCCCAGGCAAGCTTTCCAGCCAAAACCACTTGTGTACAGTTGACATAGACCTTAATGCATGATCCCAGATGTTAAATTAAACCTACTGGCTCATACTCATCACATCCAGCTGTACATAAGGCATGTATTTCACAAAAGAAAATGTACTTCTCTATGCTTCGCGCGTGAACTGTGGAGTATTAGAGTCAACACACTAGACATCTGCTGTCATGCTGCAAAATGTAACTTTTAATGTTTGATGTTAATGAAGAAAACTTTAAAACATGAACTAGACAGAAAGTGATTATTGCAGCTGTTGGTTTGAGGAACAAAAGACACTGCAGCCAACCTGCTCACATTCTTGCACTCTGTCTTCAAGCACTACTTTCCCCAAAATTCAAAGCATACTCAATTTTTCTCAAAATTTAAGCTACCGAAACAGAAATAAAGTGCTTTCGCAAACCTGTAGTATTCCTGAGCACCATCAGAGTCACAGAAATGACAAAAATAATGATCTCGTCTTAGGTGTTTCAGTAACTCATCATTATCCAAATAACGCTCATCACAAAATTTACACAGGGGATGCCCACGATGAGAGGTATCATCTGGATCTCCATGGATTCGATGACGGGCAAGGTCCTTACGAGAATACCATTTCCGTTCATAAGTAAAAATCTGAAAAAAAAAAAAAAGTATTACTTTTCGTGAAGAGAGAACAAAATGGAATAAGCCTGGTTGTGTGTGTACAACTTGTTCATTTGTGGGAGTGGAAGATTTGCTTCAGAAAGATGCAATTTGACAACTGACACCTAAAATTTTCAGTGAATAGGAAACAAAATTCAAGTGATAGATCCAAATTAAATCTAACTTGCATTTTACTCATTTTGAATGCTGGAAATAGATCGAATTCACCTTCTTCCCTTTCGCATTGTTTTTGGTGTATTAGCATAAATGCAACAAACTAAATTATAATCCCTGGTGGTGGAAAAAATCCTCAACATTTATTTATGAATGTACAGTTTTTGCACAGTTGAACTTAAAAAACTCCATAAACGAGAAGTGAGCTGTTTTACTTTCCTCAGATGGCAACTACCCCAAGATAGCTACATACAAAAGATACAGTTCAGAGAATAAATTTTGCATTATAAGCCAATCTTCTGTCCCTACTAACACACGAGCTATTTTGGTAGGAAGAGTTCTGAAGATGCCAAAAAGATCCACACAGCCTTGAGAACAGACCACCCTTTATTTCTCGCCTAGACAAGGAGTGTTAACTTGTTCTGGGAAAAAGTTCATTTGGCTTAGCTAGGGTTGATGGACTGCAGCTTCTGCAAGTTTAAGAACTTCCCTTCAGTGGGTACTAGTAATATAGAACATTTTTTCTGTGAACTAAAAATCTCTGCAGTGTTGTGAAATTAAAAGCCAACAAATTCTACTATTGTTTGTGAATTCTCTGGGAGAGACAATGACAAACAAGTTTCCCTAGTGCTGCCTACTTAAGCTAACCGCAGAAACGTCTCTTTACCGGAGGTTAAAGGACACAGCAACCAAAAGAAGCGGTCCTGCCCTCCCCTGACTACTTCCCTTGAATTAGCATTAGTGTTCATTCAAGCCAAGGTGACCACTTCTGGATCCTGCCCCTTTCGGCAGCAAACTACCATTCAGTTGGCATAAGCCAACCGGCACCACAGAATAAATGCATTTCTCTGATTTGATACTTAATTGGTTTCAGAGAAAACAAACACACATACAAAACCACGTGTAATGAGTTCTAAAAAAAAAAATAATACATGTTCATGCATTAAATTCCCTCCTACAACAATAAAGAATGCTGACAACTATTAGACACAGAGGTTAGCAGCGCTAGAATTCATTTAACAGGAACTGCTGATTTTGGCCAATGTGTAATTCAGAAACACAATACCCACTCTAGCTCCAGGGAAAGGTGGAACTCTGACTTTCAGACTGTGAAAAAGCATCGTCTGACTGACGTAACACCATCCCTTCTAAGTGAAATTTGGGTGGGATTAAAAAAAAATAAAAAAGGATGATGGTGGTGATGGTAAGATGAGTAGTTTTAAGACTCAATACACATCACCTTTTCAGACATAGACAATTCAGCTTTCCAGTAACCGTTTTATCTTTAGCAGGTTGTAAAATACATTTTAAAATAGCCCCATGTCACATTCTACATGTGTACATCAAACACAGCAGACCTCAATTGCAGGCAACAGTGAGTTTAATTTTCTAATCAAGTCAACAAAATACAGGAAATTTGCTCTGAACAAATGTGGTTTCAGCTGGGAAGAAGTTGACTTTCTTACTAGTGGCTGGTATAGTGCTATGTTTTAGATTTGAGACGAAAATAGTGTTGGTAAAACACTGATGTTTTGGGGTGTTGCTTAGCAATCAAGGCCTTTTCTGCTCCTCATATCACCCTGCCAGCAAATAGGCTGTGGGGGCGGGGGGGGGGCACAAGAAGTTGGGAGAAGGCACAGCTGACTCCAACTGACCAAAGAAATATTCCACACCACATGACATCAGGCTCACTATATAAAGCTGGAGGAAGAAAAAGGAAGTGGGGGGACATTCAAAGTTACGGCGTTTGTCTTCCCAAGTATGCTTTACACATCATGGACCCCTGCTTTCCTGGAGACCCTGAGCACCTGCCTGCCGACAGGAAGCAGTGAATGAATTTCTCCTTTTGCTTTGCTTGTGTGCACATCTATTAAACTCTTTATCACAACCCATGAGTTTTTCCTCAATTTCATTCTCCTGATTCTCTCCCCGACACAAACTGGGGGTGGCAGTGGTGGAGCATGTGAGTAAGCAGCTGCGTGGTTCTAGTTGCTGGCTGGGATTAAGCCACAACAACAAATAAACAAGATAATGAAATAATAATTATAATATTTCATTAAACCAGGAAGATGGATTCTTCATCCTGTACGTGATCCAACTGTAAATGCAACATTGACTCTGATCTGAGAAATAAATCCATCACTCCATGATGCATTCCGCTTTCTGAGCTTGCACCAAATATTTTCTTAAGTTACAGTTTTAGCTCATAAAGTCATTATGAGCATAAGTCTTAATAGACATTAAATCTCTACCATTACAGTTGTAACAAAGTCTGCCTACGACTCACGATTAACTTCCTATCAGACAGTTTGGGTTTGGTATTTACACATGTTGTGGCAGAGAAGCTAAGATCAGAAGGCTATATTAATATGGTTATGCTTAATTTAAAGTATAATCCACTAAGAAACTTTAAGCCTTCTTCATTAACCAGTTTATGGAAGAAGAAAGATCTAAAACAAAGCAACTGGCCTCACTGCGGGCAGACAGAGGAAACTTAAAAAAACAAATCTGTGCTGTTCAGCCACTTCCCTCTTCCCACCTCCCCAAGTACCCTTGCAAGTCATATAAGGAAGCACCCCCTCCTCCCCACACATTAAAACACAGAACTAGCTCACCTTTAAGTGTTTAACACAGAGTTTGCAACAGAAGAGTTCATGCTGCTTCCTCATGTGCTGTTCCAGATCTGCAAAGGTATTGAATGGCTTGATATCTGGACACAAAGAGCATTCATGCTGCAGCAGCTTCCTAAGGGAAAAGAAAGATTTCCTGAAAATTATCCAATTCCCTCTCAGCAACCCGATACCTTTATCAAAAAACAAACGGTCCCTCAGTGGTGGAAGGTTGCATTTTTACGGATCCCCCAGCAACTTGTAATGAGGTTAGCGTCCTGCTTATTTCAAGAATACTTTGTCATCTGTCAGGAACAGAACAGAACCAAATTACACAAAGGCTTCAACTGTAGGAGAAAAGCTGAACAGTCACAGTGTAATACACTGCCACTACAAAATTCTGAGCGGACTGTAACAGGTCCATGCAACAAACACCTTGCTTATCAGCTGACATACGCAATGTTCGCATCCAATTTAATTACATTTTCTACTGTCAGAAACTGAAGAATACGGTGGGCGGAGATAAAAAATTGTAAAGGAAAAAGAAGGTCTGGGAGGGAAAATAAAGAAAACCCCCACAATGATTCCCAACAAGAGTTTAAGACAAAGCACTGGTTTCAGTGGGAGACCCCACTCCCTCGCACTTGACTGCTGCCCACGGAACTGTAATCTCAGCAACTATCCAGAAATCGTATCATCAAAAGCAATTCCCAGAGCTGGTGTATAATTCATAAGAACATGCTTCCAACTGATTCTGCCCACTAAACCCATTACCCAATTCCATAAATATGAAGTCACACAAAACTGTAAATGTATCAGCAAAGCTACATTCTTAGCCCAAATCAGGTTGGATTTAATGCACAATTCTCCAAGAAAAAGGTACTATTGCCTGCATGGTTTAATCTTTTTTTCCCCTCTTCTTTCCCTTTAACTACTTTTGATTATCTTAAAGTCTCCCAATTAAGCATGTTACGAAAAATACTTTCGGAGCATTATGCTGATGTCACATTTTTTTACTCTGCATTGGTTTTTTACTTCAACCTTTTTTTCTCTCATTTAGAATCACGATCTTCGTGAGCAGACAAGGTTGCTCTTCTTTTCAAACAATGTTTGGTACAATTGGTTTTGATTAGTCCTTATGCAGCACAGCAATAAATACAATTATAATAGCAATTCAGTCTTTACCAACTTCCAGAGCAGCTATGCAATGAATAAAAAGCCTTTCAGCAAGTTTGCTGTTGATAAAGAAGCAAAAACCAACTTTAATCTACAGAGCAATGCTTCTGTATTATGCATTGGTGAATCTAACACTCCAGCCTTGAGGAACTGCTCCCTTTGCCAACCATGGTACAGAACGTTCACGCCAACCACACTGGTCCGGCCTCTCATGCTACCAAAGCCACCTGCACTGCATGGTGACTAACGTACACAGCACGGCAGCCACTCTATTCCCACAAAACAAAACCACATTGTTGTACTAAAGCATGCATTTCCTGCCACGTAACGCAGATAAGAATATGCTGGATACATTACAGAAAGGATTCCAGTACCTACCTGTACAGTGCATAAACCTCTCCATCCATAAAATAAATGTCGTATTTCTTCTCATGCTGCAACTGGTTAAGTGCTATTGTTGAGAAAGATGTAAGCTTCCGTCCAAAGACAACCTGCAGGGAACACAACACAGGAATCAGCAAGAGCACACTGAGGCTGCACAGCCTTTGGAATTCCAGTTAAACTCCTCAGCACAAACTTTGTTTGCCAGGGCAATCACCATAGCCTGTTGAAGCTTGGACAACACTTGCAGAGCTCTGCGTCATTCCCAGCTGCTCACCAACACCCCCAGTTACTGCCACAACTGTCAGCAAAGCCACTGTGACTGCTCCTTATCTACTTCCAGCAAGTGAGCCAGCTTAGACAAAGGTGGATCAGACTAGCCTGGTCTTTGGATTTTGAACTAGATTAGTAAACTTCTTTATGGTATGTTTTGCTACTGCAGCTGTGCTAAGTGTAAGTATCCTCAACCAATTCAACCATCTCTGCAGCAAATGCCTGTCAAGAGCCCTGCACTCAGCTCGGAGATCACACAGAAACCTGGAGTCTAAGTCAAAAGTGACAGTACTCAGAGCCTGACTGGGAAATAACTGTTTCTTCTTTCTTTAACTACCAGGTAAGCAAGAAACAAAATACTACATCACTTCCCAAATTATTTGTACCACATACCCCTTCTAAGGGAACCTGCTTGCTCACAGTTGCTCCCGCTGACCTCCAAGCAGCCTGGGTCTCACACTGCAGCCATTTATGATATTACATCTGTCTTCAGAAGCCACCTATCACTGGTCTGCTCCAGCACATGTTCCCAGTTTGGGAAGTGCTGGGGTAGCAGCAACACTTATGAAACAGCTGGAGTTACCTGCTCAGAAAGACTGAGACACAAACACAGTAATCACCTTTCGGTTCTTACAGTAAACACTGTAAATCTAGAAATACTTACAACCTTAATAAAATCATTCAATTATATAATACACATGCAGTTTAATCTCGTCACTCCTCCTCCCTTGCTGGGGTGAAATGCCATGGAGTAAGTCTTCTGTCTCTGGTTTTGTGGGGTTTTTTAAAGCTTTCTTTACAGTGGGGCTACTGTTAACCAAAACAAAAAATATACCCAACTTGCTGAAATATCAAGCTTAAAATAACAAGAATGCAAGTTTAAGTTGGCCAGATAAATGACAACTATGTCTAACGCCAATTATTTAACAAATTTCATTCGGTAAAATTGTACCGACATTTCATTTCAGCCCAAAGTGAGTTTTGGAACAGAGGAATGGCCTGCTGAAAAGTAGATTCTATCACAGGAGTCCTACACAATTTCCTACAGCAATTCCAAGAACAATCTCACACATATATATAACAAGCACAGTGCCAGATCCTCTGAGCCTGAACCAAGTATATGTCAGGGTTAGTTTACAGGTCAACACGTAATCCTTCCCACTTCACTGCAACAATTATGCATCATTGAAAGCACATATTACCATAACAAGTATATCCTGCTCTCTCCTCTGTCATGTCCTGTGCTGACACTCATCTTTATAGTTATATTTCCTTTGTAAATTCTGCTGTGACACTTACCAGTTTGGTCTACACTACTCTGTATGACACCAGCTGAGATTTGGTAGTGTTGTACTTGCCTTTGCTAAGTCCATCCACACTATACAAATTAAGAGACCCAGGTTTAGGTCCTACATATACATTCAGTTCATTCAACAGCAGTTTTGATGTGATTTATCCACCCAATATATATTTGTTTTTCCTTGGGGCTGCTAAGTGAGCAGACAGAACAGTATTATAGTGGCACTTAAAGACAATGGGGGGGGGGGGAGAGCATAGCCATTACAAATGACCTCTCAGTCAATTATAATAAAAGGATCATTTTAAACAGTTAATAAAGGAGGGAGAAAGATAGCTGAATGAACCAAAGTTCCGGCCACATCATATAGTAACATTACAGAATTGAAAAGCCCTTGAGATTAACAGTCCATCTGTGACCCTAAGACAAGCAGGTTTATAAAGATGAAAAGCAGTATCACAGCTTGGTTCTTCCTAACACAGGAGAAGCAGAGCAGCAGCTCCTCAGAGGATGATCAGAGACAAAATTACTTTTACAGAGTCTCTTTCTGTACTCAGTGGCTACTCATGTGCCAGTAAGTTCAGTCTAAAAAACCATATCCATCTTTCTGGCCTCCACAAAGTCTGAGAATCTTCAGCACACAGCCTAAGAACTTCAATGCCTCCAACCATCTGGATAACTTGAAAAGCAGCCAAAGCAAACAGTTGGGGGGGGGCTCTCCTTTCACCAAGGGGAGACCTCCTTGCCTTGATAAATTTGCTTTATTTCACTTCCTAAACCATCTCAGTATATTTCTTTCACTGCTAGTACCAATTCTTTTCTTCTTAAAGGGTTTGTTTTTCCCTATGTCAGCTCTGCAAAAACAAATTCACATATGAGGATTTGTTGTTATAAACATCCTTGAACAACTTTTCCTCACGCAGCTCACTGCTGCACCAAATCCTCAGTTCCCTCCGCACAGCCAAGCCACAGCATCAGAGCGACTTCTCCCGAGCTCCGCAACAGGGCCCTGCGCTATTGCACCAGCAGGCCATGAGGAAAACAGAAATCTATCAGAAAAATTAAATCTGAAGAGAAATTACTTTTTAAGCATATGCCCAAGAGATGGCTTACGCTAACAGGAACTGGGGGCAAAGGCAGCGTGGTGTGCTGTAACGCAAGGCATGAGCAAGCCCTGAAAGAATACAAAATATGTTCTCCCCCAAGCTTAAAACCAAGTCAGGAATTCGGCAGGATGATAGAGTCATCTGAGATCACGTAATGCCAATCCTGGAGAGTAAGCCCTGCTGATTTAAAAAACAAAAAAAATTCCCTTCAAATTCCATTTTTTTCATAGTTTGTTTACAACACCCCTCCCGTCTCCTCTGAACGGCAGTCGCCCCACCAGGAGCGAAGCAGACGGCAGATAAACCCGGAAAGCTCCGGACTGGGGGACGTTTCCCCGCCCCGGCTCCGCTCAGCAGATTCCACGAGTTGCTCCGCGGCCCGGCTCCCGCCCCA